AGGGGGGATATAAATAACTTGCAATAACGGAAAGTTCATCCGAACAATTACCATAAAAGTATTTATAGAAAAGACACAGGGTAGCTACATTACAGAGGTGGGGAAATTGACTGAAGCCGAGATGTCAGGTCAGGACCAATAACATAGATTATTCTTTAGATTTTATCTGTGAAAATAATGCGAACTAATTTTACTGTGCAAATTCTTACAAAAACCCCCGCCAACTTGAAATTCACGGCCCTTCCTAAAACTTTAAACGACGGACCTGGCTTCATTTGTTTATATCTAAGAAAGCAGAGTTTTGATGTCAAGACACTCAACTAGAAGACTTAAGATATGTAATAGAAAAGCAAGACAGCTGAGGATCGAACCCATTATGGCTGTCCTGCTAAACTGACTTGCGAAGAGATTTACTAGTCTGAAAAGAAAGCGAATAAAAGAAATAAATAACATTTGAAATTGCTTATTGAATGTATTTTCGTTCATTTGCAAAAACGTGAATAGTGTGTTTGATGAAGGAAGTTTCAAGTTTACATGTTTAGTGGAATTTCACAATTAGCACTACAACCAGAAATAAGTTGTTTTTTTTCATCTTACCATAGATTAACCACTCCAGATGACGAATTAAATATAATTTTAGAGACGTTATTATAATGAATCCTTATATTTGATATAGACGCCCCATTTTTATTTTTAAACAGTGTGTATTACGTCTATAGGCTATTCAAGAAATTTTAAAGAATGCGAAAGCAGATAGCCGTAATAGAGAGTTTGAAATAAAAACAAAAATGGGACGTCTATTTCAAATACGACTATCCACTAAAAATGCTTGAAGTAATAAAAGCATTTGAATGAAAAAAATCCATTAATTCTTTAGAAATATCTGGTGCTTTCGCTGCATATCAAGATTCTTGATAAAATCCAAAGAAGGATCTGTAATGTAATTGATCCTGACCAAGTATCTCGACTTTAGTCACTTTCTCACCGACGTAACTTGGCTTCCCTCTCTTTTTTTCCACAAATATTTTCGTGACAACTGCTCTTATGAGCTTCTTTCCATGGCGTCCCGTCTATATGAATTTAAGTTTGCTACCAGATTGGCATCTAAGTTTCATCGTTTTGTGGTTGAACTAACCAGAGGCAACCGCCATTTCTAATCTAACAGTTTTTTTTCTCTCATTTCCCACTCGTGGATGTCCCTTTCGAATTCTTGCATCCTTGCCACCTACAACCTTCAAAAATTTAAATCAAATATCAATCATCATCTTGTATTCTTGAAATTTTGTTTCATTTTTTTTTTTTGGTCCCTTTCTCCCCCCCTCCCAATTCTCAGTTTTCTCGTTCTTTTTCACTCCATTGAACTACCTGCGTCTTAATGGCAGTATCATCTTGCTTGTGGCGAAATGATATAAAAAAAAAAAAGTTGAATCCAGTTTGCTATAGGAAATTCATGGTAAATTTACGGAATCCAAAACAAATTACGATGCCATGTTTTGGATTCTGTAAGTAATTCAATTTACATAAACTGGAAACCCCCTCTTGTAGAAAATTTAATTGTAATAAAAATATTAAAGATTCGTAATCTGGGCAGTTTATAATTTATAGCAATAATAATAATAAAATATTAGTCGCAATGTCTTATAAACTCTACGAAATGTTTAATGAAAATATTAAAAAACAAAACAAATCAAACCAAAATAGGTTGCAAGAAATAGAGTTTATGCCCAGCAAAAATTCTACCAAAACATTTGAGCAAAAATTAACAGTAGTAAAGGCAGACTCTTGATAATGTCGACCTCAGAAAGAAAATGATGGGGTTTAATACATTAATAATAAGCGACAAAACTGGAGTTGCAAAGATTAGTGAAAATCTAAGTTCGTATAATCAGATATTTTCGCCGCTGTAACTTCATCCCAGAAAGTAAAACAGTGCTCATTTTTTTTCTCTACGTTCAACTTAGCCTAGCTGTGGTCAGCCTGATAAAATTGGATTTTTGGGCAATCATAGATTAAAGAAAAAAAACCAAAACTTACCATCCTCTTTTAGTTTTCGTCTGAAATTCTTCGGCCTTCTCGAAGCTTAGCTAATGAAAGTGCCAATCTTCCAAGTAGGTAGGACCCTTCTAATTGAACATCTAGTATCCGAAATTATAGTTTTTACCGAAGATTGATCTCCGGCCTCTAGCACAAAAATGTGAATCTTTAGATACGTTTTCGCCACTAGGCCAGATCAGTTCTTCAAGGCCGGTTCTAATCGAACAATTCATTTTGACTGAGTATAGAGATGTCCGATATGCGTTTGAAAGTAGAAAGCGAATTGCTAATTCAGCACTTTAAAGAGATTCGCATTCTCTTAGTTCTCGACTGGTTAGCATGGTGACTTGAGAGAATGTTGAAAACGACAGTTTACTAGATATCTCGAGAAATTTCGAATCCTACTGAAACTAAATTAAGATGGACGTCGATTCTGAGTCACATGTCTCTTCGACAACATTTCTTCTTAATAATAATTAATAAACAAATAAATAAATAAAGGGAAATGAGAAGTAAGAACATAAAGAGAGGAAGGAGAAAGAATAAGGGAAGTAAACGAAATAAGAGAAAAAAAAAGAGTCGGTGAAAAGAATAAGAGAGGGGAAGGAGAAAAGAGAGGAGGGGAAGGAGAAAAGAGAGGAGGGGAAGGAGAAAAGAGAGGAGGGGAAGGAGAAAAGAGGAGGAGGGGGGAGAAAACATAGAGAGGGGGAAGGATGAGAGGAGAGAAAAGAGAGGAGGGACAAGGATGAGAGAGAGAGAAAAGAGAGGAGGGACAAGGATGAGAGAGAGAGAAAAGAGAGGAGGGACAAGGATGAGAGAGAGAAAAGAGAGGAGGGGACTGTCTGAAAGAAAAGGATGATAAATTTTCAAGAAGCAAAAAAGTGGAAGGAAAAGAGTTGAGAAAGAATTTCAACAAGGGAGGAATGAAAAAGGAATGAGAAGGAAGAGAGAGAGAGAGAGAGGAATGGTTGAAATAATTCAGAAAAGAAACAAGAAATCTTTAAAGGAAGAGGGAACGAAAGAGAGATGGAAATGAAAAACAAAGGGAAAATTGAAGAAGATTTAAAACAACGGAGTTTTGTTAATGTTTCTTAAATTTAAATTCTAGCTCAAGGCAGCATATCACGTGACGATCAAACCTCCACTTGTCTCGCTTAAGGCCAGATGTAGAAGTCAGAAGTGCTGTCATCAAGTATTTCCCACATCTCGCCATCAAACCGGCAGCATTACTTAAATCAGCTTTAATATGGAGAATTATTTGTAGAGTATTGTGGAGCCTTACTGTCACTTAATCTTAAGTGCAACCCCCTCAGTTTAATACAAGGAATAATAATAATAAATAGTAGCAGTAGTAGTACCGGTGAAAATATCACGGTTTTCTATTAAAATTTTTTGATGAATCATAATTCTTAATTATTTTTAAATAAGCTCCTCGCTAGTTTCCCGACTATAAATTACCTGTGGAAATGTCCCTTATTGTATCGTTAAATATTTCAATATCTATCTATATCCCTGAGATGAGGTATTATGATGAGTTGCATTATTTACATTATTCGGACTGTTATCCTCATCTTGATTGCCATATTCACCACGTTTCGGCCGTTGTACGCTCCGGTCTTCTTCAGGTTATTGGAATTTAGAATCGAACCCTTTATTTCGTCCACCGGGGTAGGTTGTTCTCGTTCCACGTGCCTTGCCTCTTCCTGATGTCTCAGTTATTTCCCTCAGAACTCAGAACTCCAGGTTTTGGTTCCCAACTGCTGTGTCCTGGTATTGAACTCACAACTCTTTGGGTCTAGTCACTGGATCTAATCAACGTCTTTATCGGGAAGAGGTATGGCACGTGGAACTAGAACAATCTGCTCCGGTCGATGAAATAAAGGGTTCGTTTAAAAAATTCCAATCACCGTAAATATTTCAGTTTAACAGCTTCAACAAAATACTGAAATAACAATCCCAAGTATGACTGCAGGTTATCATTTAAAGAAGTAGAAATGAAATATTTTAAAATTGACAAAATTTTCCATTTCCCTGGAGCTGACCGTAAACACGCATGGGTATCATCACATTATCTTTCTTTTTTTCATCACTGAAATCAAACAACGTTTCTCATATATCTTTTCCATCTTTCCTTGCGATCAACACAAAATAGTCAATTATTTATGAGGTATTGGCAGGACGTAATGGTCGTGGTAACGAAGGCAGAAGAAAAAAGAAAATAATAAAAATTAATAATAATAATAATAATAAAATTCAGATCGACCTCCTCATGTCAAGAACATTTTTGTTTCGAGCAAAAAATGAACACTGGAACGAAAGGTAAATAGAAAATTAAATGTGAAATCACCAGGACCTCGTCCGAGAAGTAAAAAGATGGGACATGAAAGTTCTCGTCATTCGAACAATTGATAACCGTACAAGAATACATCAGAGTAGAAATTAGGGAAACTTCAGATCTCAGAAAGGATTAAGTATATCTAGACGGCGGACATGTTGTTGTCCATAAAAATACCGAAAAGGGAGCTAGATACAGGAGGAGAACTGCTGTCATTCATTCCCTCGTGCTAACACCTAGATAATTGGTAGGAACGCGCAAGTACGTTTAAAAAAACAAACTCTTGCTACTATTAATAATAATGTAAAGCGTACAGAACAATATTAACTCACTTATTATAGGCTTTATACCATTGGACTCCATTGAAAAAATCGTATCTCGTTGCTTCAGAAGTCCGCGTTACTTGAACTGCAAATATTCTACGAAAGGTGTTTCCTTTTAGAGGACGTACACATTATGAATACTCATTATGCAAGACCGCCAGTTAAAATGAAAAATTCTACGAACAAAGATGATGATAATAATAATAATAATAATAATCATGAACAAAGATTTCCATGTCAGTTGTCTAACCGTAACAAGTTGGGTATGTCTCCCAGGGATTGTTGTACTGTGCATTGTCTTTTTTCATGAGTGAGAGTATTTGGGGATCATAGCTAAATGTCGAGAGAACTGATTTTTTAAAAAGGTTTGATGAATGAGGCAGCCGAGGAGAGTTGGGAGCCACGTTTTGATATTAAGAAACACTTTCAACCAGATACCGACTGAACGGTCTGGGCTACTTAACCTGAAGGCATTTCTAACTAGCCACCACCACCCGCCCTGTTTTTATCATCATTTGTCAACCATATCGCGTATATTTGGCTGTGATGCATGTGCATGGTATACGATTATCCTACTGGGTGTAATGATGGATATATTGGGCTTCGACCATTTGTATCCTAACATCAGTTTGTTGTCGTGTTGCTCTTTCACAAATTTAATAACTTCCAAAATTCTTCCGACCAAACATTTGTCTTCCAGTAAAACGAGAAGAAATAGTTTTACGAGACTCCGAATAAGACATACACGCCTGGGACACCCAAATCTAGTCAAAAATGAAAGTACTCCTATCATACAACAGATGTCAAGTACCTTTCACAGTTGAGCAAATACTCATAAGTTGCTATCATCTCAGGCAATCACGAACAAAATATTATCAAGCAAACAATACAAAATATCTCTTTCAAAACAGTATAGACAAATCTCTCATCAAAGGACAAATGAGGGGGGGGGGCATGAGTGGTCCGTTATAACTGATTGCCCGTGCATGGGAAGGGGTTATTTTTGAGTTATAAAACCACTATAGTAACTGCGCCAGTAGTTATGCTCATAATATAAAGACTATAAACATGTATATAGCAAAATAACAAAAATAATAGATTTTTCACAGCTAATTTCTCACGCACGCGCTAATGTATCGCCTTGAGACCTAATACGAGTCGTTTCGCTAAGCCTGCAAATTTTGAAATACATCGCTGACGATTTGGAAGTTTTTTTTCCTGCATAACATTTTTTTTATTTTGCCTGCAGATTTTGTCAGTTGCATCCGAACTCCGTTGATACGGGTCCGTAGATTATGCTAATTTCAAACTTTATACCGAAATGTGAAAATATAAAAACTCCCAACAAAACTATATAAAACATTTAAATATTGCGAAAACTAAAAAGATGGAATAAGAACCCTTCAGACTTCATAAAGATCCCCACTAAACATAAAAATGCAGACTAATAACCAATTTGTATCAGAAACTGAATACAAAATAATTTATATTGGAAACCAGCATCTCTAATAATTGATTAAAAAGAAGAAGAAAAAATTCATCAACTCCCCTGTACGGAAAACTTTCACTGATCCACGTAACATCATCCTATACCCAACACTACAACAATTCAAAACCATTATCTGGCTTTAAATAACTTTCAAGGGTTGAAGGGACGTTAATGAGAAACAAAACGAAACCACATCAACCCAGTCATCTCTCTCCCAGAATAATGGAAACTTGTCTTAGAGTGACAGTTTTTTTTTTTAATCGGTATCACCCCATGCAAGGCAGTAAAGCCACTAAGACACAAGAGGGTTACAAGATACGGAAGAATTAGAAACGGAAACATTAATAATGAGAGGAAAAAGTAATCATGAGAACAGTAGATATCGATTGGCATTGCATTTAAATTTTTGCAAATTAAAGTTGGCTGGAAATCATGGAGCCGGAAGGGAGTTCCACACGCAAGAAGAGAAACTGTTAGCATAGAACTTACGGTTAACTGTAAAGTAATGAGATCTCGACGCCAATCATGAACTTTGCTTAAATTGAAAAATTCTAGGCACCATAGCGAAGAATTCATTCAAACAATTACTGTGAAATTAATTATAGAAAAAACACAGGGAGATGGCAGGAAAGTGAATAAAATCGAGCCACCAGTTACTTTACATATTCTATGGACGATATGAAAGAGGAAGTTCGAGTAAGTAAATATTTAAGGGCATTGGTGTGATGCGACGGCGAACAAGCTTGTCTTGCCGACCTTTCGCCAGTGTAAGTGAGTTCGATCCTCATCGGGCATATTACAACCGTTGACATTCGCCAAAGTTTAATCTCCATACCAACATGTAATAGGTATGTTAAAAGAAAAGGCCATAGAAAGACATATTTGAATTCAATCTTTTGCCAATTTAATTCCCCCATCAGAAACGCGTAAAGGAATTCTCTTCTCCTTAAGTTTCATTAACATTTAAATAAGGAGACACACCTCAGATGGTGCCAGAGTAGACTTTGCTGAGGTGGGTGTGTTTATTGGCAGTGGAGATGCCCGTGCCACTCTCAGTCAATGGCTGCCCCCGACATGGGAATATATGAACCTGAAATGTGCACGCGTTGGAGAAAAATGATGACACGTGGATATATATATATATATATATATATATATATATATATATATATAACATATAAGCAGCCGCAACAGAGGGAAGAGAGTTCCTTACATTCACACGAGAATGTAGGATCTACGTTTGGTAACAGCACCGGAATCACACACCAATTGTCTGTCGGTAATTGATGAAGCCAAGAGTCGAATAAAATATAAAGTTACGGAGGAGCGGTTCAGACTCGGGTTCTCTGACTAGAATATGACACCATTTTTTTAATCCTCTTATACTAGAGAGGGGGGATTGTGCGATACAAAACTTTTCAGGAATTTCCAAAACGTTTCCAAAGAAGCTAATAGGGCAGACTCTAAAATGAGCTTAATTTCTTTTATCATTTCACCCAAAACAAGGCAATAAAGCCACTAAGACAAAAGAAAAAAAAACATTAAGGAGAGAGAACAATAAAAGAACAGTAATTAAGAAGAGAGAAGATAACGATTGACATTGCATTTACATTTTTGAGGATCAATATTGACCGAGAAGCAAGAAAGCAGAAGAAAGTTCTACAGGCGAGAAGTGCTAGAGAGGAAGTTGTTAGCATAGAACTTGCGGTTACATCTGGCCATTTCAACTGTAAAAATGATTAGGTTTTGCTGCCAATCTAGTACTGCGCTTAAATTCATAAAGTCAATCTAAGACGAAAGAAAGTTGATCAGAACCATCACCATGAATGATGAAAACTCGGCGCCAATCTTATATTCTATCTTAAACTTTTAAAGCCGAGATAGCAAAGAACGTCGAATCGGATCTTCCACAGAACAATTACCATGAAAATATTTATAGAAAAGTCACAGGGAAGCTACTTTAAGGCAATGCAAACGTGACTGAAGCCAAGATGCTAGGTCAGGACCGATAACGTTGCCGATTCTTCTTTGCCAAAGAATCCAACCAGATCCTGATGAGACTAACGTTCGTATCGTAAGATTTCCTCCATCCTTGTCGTCCACACCACTAACCATTGCCACGGCTGTCAGCGTCAGAAACATCATCAGAGTCGATCAGTCGTTCAATTGAGTCGATCAGTCGTTCAACTTTGAACCGACTGTTCGGTTAAACTCTCTTCCTACGGGCGGGAGGAACCCGAAGGAGGCTACACCGAAGGGCGGAGTCTCCTTCGAGGAGGTAAACCGGCCCAGAACACGTTTTATACGGGTTCAAATGGGCTATTTTTTGGTCGAGCCTAATGGCTTGGGAATGCCCACGTTAAAAAGGCCTTGTGCCACATGACACCCTCGTGGGGGGGGGTTGACTGAATATCGTCAGAAACACCATCGGTTTCATCCTAGAACACGAGGGCGACACATTTATCTCAGGCGTATGCAAGATCGATGGACACAAGATGTTCGGGATCGATAAAGAGCCATCAACTCGCTGACATCGTCCCAGAACGGGCGCACCTGAGGACAGTGGTAGAAGGAGGGGAACAGCTGTTTTTTTCTAATCTAAGGTCACAGTGATGAAAATTGGGCGTGTCCTCCCAGCCTGCTCTGAAAGCCATATCATTACGTCAAGTGTGACATATAAATATAGGTAGAAAAAGTAAATGTTGATAAGATAACCGGGGGGGGGTCACAATACACTGTCAGAGGGCACCTAATCAGACATGGGCCACCCTGGGGGAAAGGATGGCATGGATGGACAAAAAGTTTAGTATAAACCAATGTTTCAGATATTTTTAAACTCAAGAAAAAAATTTTTTATTGATGATTATTTTTTTTTCAATTTATTTGATTTCATTTTTCCTTTATCAGATCAACAATCGTTTTGATTTATAGAGCAACGAATACGAAATCCATTGATGCGGTCTTCTACCTCAACATTAACTGCCAAAATTTGGTCTGTGAACACAATCACCGCTGGTAGAAGATGTAGTTTCTCTTGAATAATCAGCAATAGCCTTATCACTTAATTTGATTTTTTATGGCTTATCAACCCCATGGAATTATTTAAAGCTGAAACATTTTGGATTGTAAGAATAATTATTTTTGCAAGTAAATATTGTGTAGAATAACAATAATAAACAGCACTTACCGGCGTAAGGGTCCCAGCTAGCGTCCAGCTGGCAGACAAAAATAAAGCAGGTTGTAACTCAATACAAACCCTGCAAACTAACTGATGAATCAAGCTGGTATTTATACAGAAATACCTCCACTCATGTACCAGCAGCCAATCACAGCCCAAGCAATGGACTATCCCACTTGAGCACAATGAGATGCTCCATGGCACCATAAATAGCTCTCTTAGCTTG